CGGGTTGTTTTTTTTTTTTTTCTAAGATTGCTTCATCATGCATCCCCAAATTTAGAATATTAAAAGAAGTGTTGAAATACTCCCTCTTCAGAAGCTGAGGGGAGGGGGATGCAAGAAGAGAAAACCAGTGCTGGTGTCTCCTAGCTGTAAGCTGGAGAATGACTTAGCAGAAAGGACATTTTGATCAGTGGAGGGGTTTTTTTTTTTTTTCTCTCAAGTCCGTGGTGCCTCCTGCCAGCAGCAGAGGATTGCAGTAGACAAGGAAAAGCTGGCAGTGCAGTGCCTTGGAGCAATCCCTGCTTCTGTGCTGACTCTTGAGAGCCCTCAGTGCCAGCCTTCACCACAGGGCTTCTTCTGGCACAGTAGTTTCTCAGCAATATCTTCTTTGCTTTCTTTTTGGTGTGTGACGGACTTTGCAGAGGAGACCTGCTCACTCCAGAATCTTTGCAGTGCCAGGAGGGGGGTGAGGAAGAAAATTAAAAGTAGACAATGTGCCTCTGCTTCCAGCAGCTGGGACTGCAGGCAGAGGGGCACTGCATCAGGCAGAACCTCTCTCAAATTAATTTGGAACTTAGGATGTCTTCACATTAGAACATCTCTGCAACATCTCTGGGTTTGGCTCCAGAGAACTGGGCTGAGCAGTCTGGAAATACAAAGATACTGTTTACTTAATAGTTTGTCTTACCTTTTCCTTGAGGTAAAACCTCTTGGTACCTAATAGTATTCCAGCTTCCCCTTAAGAAATCCTACAGCAATCCAGTATGTTACCAGTTCAGGTGGTTTTGTTTCCAAGCCTTGTGTAGACTGAGGGAGATGACAGAGGTGACCATCTGCAAGGTGGCTCCAGCTGCATATAAACTTGTGTTTTGCAGTACACACAAATGAGGTTCTGTGTGATGAGCTCAGCTCACATTTGCCAGGGTGATGAGCTTTCAGGGCAGTTATTTAACCCACCTTGTGTCTGCTCCTTTTTTGAGACAGCTATCACGGGTTTGTTGGAGCTCCCTCCTAGCAAAGCCTGGTCTTCCAGTCCTTTAGTAACACAGAAATACTTGGAAGCAACAAAATAGAGATGGGGAAGGAAGTGATGGTGAGGACTGCATGCTAAATGGGATTGTTACTTTGTTTTGCCTCCACAGCTCCTGTCCTGTTTGACAGAAGCCTCGGTTGGTGCAGCGGTGCTTCAGCACGTCAACTCCATAGTGCCTTATTATTTATCCTTCCCAAAGCAGTGCCGTGCCCTTCTCAAGGTGAGGGGATGTGCTGTGGTGTGTCATTTGGATCTGAGGTACTTTCTTTCCCCCTCCAGACAACCCTGTTGTGGTATTTGGGCTGGATCTCGTGACAGTTCATTCTCTTGTACTGTTATTCCCTTGATCTGCTATTGGTTCTGGAGAGGATTCCTGCTTCTCTCCCAGGCCTCCCAGGTGCCATGAGCTGATCTTAGGCTGAGGTGAGTGGGAGGTGGCTCTGTGTAGCTGCTCCTAAGTGGCAGGGAGGTGTTTTGGGAAGCTGTCTGCTGCCTCCTCACAGATGGAGTAATTGCTGCCTGTGTGCCAGGCGCTGTGGTACCATTTCCCTCTCCAGAGCTGGGGGTGGAATATTTTTACAGAAACTTAGTCACAACTGCTGAGCATTAAGAACAACAAAGGAGGCGTGGAAGAGATGAAGAGGGCAGCAGGGTGACATTTAAATGAAAAAAACACTGCAAGGCAACATTTAAATGAGGCTGGGAACCCTTTGATGGCAAAGATGACTGGTGTACAGGGGTGGGAGGCTGGGACACCTCATATCTGGAGGTGTTGGAGTCTGCTAAGTGCCACTGTGGGGATTTCTGAGGAGGCTTTTTCAGCCCTGCAGCGGAAATATTTCTGATGTTCTGTGGAGTTCATTAGTTCAGATGAGGTAACTGGCTTCTGGAGGCATCAGCAATGATTGTGGTCCTGCTGTACCAGGTTCTTCCTGATAGGCCAAGTGAATCTCTGGGTGATTGAGTCACATCCAAGGCTGGTGCCTGTGCTCAGAGTATTCAGCTACACAAATAAGTGTGTGTATTTTTCTGAGGTTCTAGTTTTGGACAGTTTATTTATTGTGAAAACATCAACCTTGCCTTTTCCTGTAGTCTCACAGCGAGAGTATAAGGACAGAAGGGCTGCCAGTGCTGTTGGTTTTGCTGTGCAGGAGAGAAACTCAGGCCTGTGTGTGACCAGGAAGGAGCTCTTTGTCCCTTCACTTAATCTGTATCTTTCTGTTTTATCCCAGCAAACAATTACTTTGTGGAGCACAGGTGAGGAAACAGTGAGAGTCCTGGCCTTCCTTGTGCTGAACAAGTTCTGCCGCTACAAGAAGGAGGTTTACTTAAGTCCCTTGCTCAAGGTAAGCCTGGTACTGGCTCTGATCTGCAGATTTTCTTTCTCATGTGCAAAGAACATTAAAGAGCTGCAGCTTATTAGATGATGCTGGTTATGTCCAGAAAATTAAACAAGGCAGAAATTCTGTTAGGTCAGAGTGATCTCTGCTCTTCCTACTGCTCCCCTTCCTGCTGGAGGCACAGAGACTCTGAGCGGGGAAGATCTCTGCTGGTGATCTATCTACTCATCTTCCAGATTCTTCAGGGCTT